TATCCTCTGTACCTCTACTCAAAGCTCTATGGGGAACCAGATGTCCTGAACAGCTGGGGTTACTATAGGAATTGTAATGTGGCAGGGTGCATCTTCAAGCAATGCTGAATGGGACTGTGCTCCCACAGTCTGAAAGGAAATGTCCCCCAAATTGGACCTCTCACAGGAAGCCCACTTGAGGATGCTCCCCAATTCTTTAAAAAAATTTTTTTTGATGTTTATTTAGTTTTGAGAGAGAGACAGAGAGACAGAGTGTGGCAGGGAGAGACAGAGAGAGAGACACACACCCAGGATCCGAAGCAGGGTCGGGCTCCCAGCTGTCAGCACAGAGTCCGATGTGGGTCTTGAACTCACGAACCGTGAGATCATGACCTGAGCCAAAGTCAGACGCTTAACCGACCGAGCCACCCAGCTGCCCCAGATGCTCCCCAATTCTTAATCTGGATCCTCTGTCCTCTGATGGGTCCTCCTCTCAGAAAATGCCTCCTTCTTTGCACAACCACAATGAAATTCTTACCTTAGCTCCCCTTTAGGGTGACTGTCACCTAGCCACAAATTGGTCTCTCCCTAGGATTCACCACTTGCCCTCATCAGGACAATCCTAGGACTTGAGTAACCATAGCAGTGCTCCTCTTGAAATCTGGTTGATCCAACCAAGAATTGCACAGGAGGGGAGGGACATGGTGGCCTCGAAGCTGGGAGGGAACTGGGTGCTCCAGATCCATTCCTGACAGGCTAAGGGTAGATGTCTCCTCTTTCCTATCCAGATGGCAATGAATGGTTCTCTCTCTCTCTCTCTCTCTCTCTCTCTCTCTCACACACACACACACACACACACACACACACACACTCTTCTACATTTGCCAAGGACCAGCAGCGTGTTCTCTATCCATTTAATTTAAGCAAGAAAAACTATTTTCTAAGTGGATGCTGATTCCTGCCCTCAATGCATTTGATGCTTAATTATAACACAAAACTGTGTCCTCTCAGATTTTTTCATCCTTCCAACTCCTAAGTCTTGCCCAGAGGCCTATTGGAACCTAAGACATGGGGCCACTTATGCTACCTTTTAAGGCACAAATCCACGTGGCTCTGAAGACCAGAGCTAAAATCCCAGCTCCAAGACCTTGAGGTACCCCAAAGACCAAATCTCCTTCAGGCAGGGCATCTCTGTACCTTCATCTGTAAGGGCAGGGGAGGCAGGACAAGAGTCAATTAATTTTTTGAGAAGCCCTTCCGGACGTTGTGCTGGGGTTATTTAGGGTTTGAGGATTTGGAAATGGTGGTGAGTCCATATTTATTTTAATCCATATTGTTCACAACTTTGACTGGCTTTGATTCCGTACTGAATATATGATTTTTAAAACCATTTCTGGGGTGCCTGGGTGGCTCAGTCGGTTAAGCGGCCGACTTCGGCTCAGGTCATGATCTCGCGGTCCGTGAGTTCGAGCCCCGCGTCGGGCTCTGTGCTCACAGCTCAGAGCCTGGAGCCTGTTTCAGATCTGTGTCTCCCTCTCTCTCACCCTCCCCCGTTCATGCTCTGTCTCTCTCTGTCTCAAAAATAAATAAACGTTAAGGGGCGCCTGGGTGGTGCAGTCGGTTAAGCGTCCGACTTCAGCCAGGTCACGATCTCGCGGTCCGTGAGTTCGAGCCCCGCATCAGGCTCTGGGCTGATGGCTCAGAGCCTGGAGCCTGTTTCCGATTCTGTGTCTTCCTCTCTCTCTGCCCCTCCCCCGTTCGTGCTCTGTCTCTCTCTGTCCCAAAAATAAATAAACGTTGAAAAAAATTAAAAATAAAAAAAAAATAAATAAACGTTAAAAAAAATTTTTTTTAAATAAAACCATTTCCTATCAAAAGGTAGCACCCCCTTCACCCCCTCCTCACCATCCCCTCTTCTCTATGTGTCGCTCCCTGACATCCACTTGTAGCTCAGGCCAGCTGCCAGGATGTCACCACGCTGGTCCATCGCTTGAGGCAATAATTACCAAATGGTCACTGCCTTCAACTTTGTCTCAGGCTCCAAGGGTTGACCCCAAATTTAAGTTTCCCAAGAATTTGAAAATTAGTCTATGCCTACTCTCCCTGAACTTCTCCCCGTTTTTATGTTTTTGAAGTCACATATCCTCTTACCTGTCGACCGCATTTTGAGGGCACATAGTCAACCATGCACACAGTAAGTGCTTAATTAATATTTTGTTGGATTAATTGAATGGTTCTGAATAACAAAATTATTCACTCAGTGACCCTCCCATTTATAATCTTATTAAACGCCTCTGTGGTGTGAGGAGAGGGGTACAGATGTACATACAAGAGATCCAGTTCCAAACAGATGATTCCTCCAGGTATAATGCATGGAAAGTATGCAAAGGGCATTGGATGTTCAGACCTCCTGGGTTGGAGAACTCCTCCTGATGACGGGTTGCGTGACCTTGGACAGGCTAACTCACCTCTCCAAGCTGCACTTCCATTGCTGATAAAAACAAGGACAGTGATAGGATCTGTCTTGTGTTGTTGTTTAAGATTAAATAAAATGAATGCCCACAGCACTGGATCATAGGAAGGGCTTAATACATATAAACTATCATTGTGCTGCTAGGTCCCAGAGGGGAACAATTTGGCCATTGAATATGTGAATGTTTTCAAGTGTAGACAGAGGACCGTCTATATCAGATTCCACTTGGGTCCACTTAAAACATGAAGATCCCTGGGTCCTACCACAGATGTACTGAATCGTGCTTTCTCACGCTGAGACACAGGCTTCTGGATTTTATGCGGCTTCCCAGGCATCTGCAGAGGAGAGGCACTCCAGCTTGTCCCCGTGGTGCGGGCAGATGTTTTACCTGCCACTCTAGGGCTCCTGAGATGTTCTGTGTGAGCTGTCCTGCTTAAGAGACCAGGTGGGCAGTGTTCATCCGCTTCTTCGTGTGCCAGGTGACCGGTTGGCCCCAATTTCTGGAAAGATCTTAAAGGCCAGTTTAAGGTGGGGTCATTCATTGTGATGCATAGCAGCTCTGTTGGCCCATGTTTCACATTCTTTATTTGTAATCTCTTTCTAGACTAGATGTAGGCAAACGTGAAGGGACATATGAAGAAAGAATAAGAAGCAAGAGGAGAGGCGAATGCTGTTCGCAAAGCAACAGACACAGAAGGCACAGGCTAGAAGCAGAGAATGAAAAGAAAGAAGAGAATGACATCAAGAAGAGGATATTTTGGTGTGGCCAAACCAAACCACTGGCCATCTTTGGGTTCTCTGCTCTTTGTCCCTTGGGGGCGGCAGGGGTGAAGTGGGGTGGATCGTAGGCAGGGGCTTTACAGCGTCAGAGCAGATGTTTGTTAACAACAGGCCAGTGTCAGTTCAGTGTGAAACTGTTAAAAAATTTAGTTTTATTGGCATCTCAGAAAGGCAGCAATTGTTCTATTTCCCTGGCACAACGCTCCCATGAGGCAGGTTGCAACTTGCCGTGTTTGCCCAAGCCTTAGCGGAGTGCCCAGGGAGGCGACGACTAGGCACGTCATTTTGAAAGCCTATCTGCCTCCCGATAGAAAAAGGCCCCCTGAGGTGGGGGTTTGTCAGCTTCTTCTCCTCAGTCCCCAGAGGAGGGGCCTCCAGCAGCTCTTGTGCTTGGCACCTTTATGATCTGTGGACAGTCAGCCCTTCTGGAGAGCTCTGACTAGCTGTGGGGAGGCACACCTGTGCTTATATGAGGAAGTCGAGGTTAACGGGGGACGATTTCACAGGTTCCCGAGCAGCCTTTCACAAACGACGGCTCAAACTCTTTACCACCGGAGAGTGCGTAAAAAGCACAGCTTTGGTGCTCTTCAGACCCAAGCCTGGGTGCTCCCTGGCTGGGTGACGTTGGGTAGGTGACGTGACTTCTCTGACTCTCAGCCTGTTCATTCTGCTATCAGTATTGCCGTGAAGATTGAGAGGATGTGTGAGGAAACCCTCAGGCAATGCTGGCACACAGAAAGGGTTTGCAAAATGGTAGCCGTGGCCACTGCCAATGGTATGAATGTCGGTGCCATTGTGCAGAAACTTGGGACGTGGAAAACGCCCCTCCAGGCTTCATTGCAGGGATTAAGTCCTGTGATTTAATGCCCTCAGTGAACAGGATTGAACAGCAGAGTGTAGCATAGGTAGCTTAAGCAACTGCCCTTCACCTCGAAGGATGGTTGGGCTTGTTCAAGTAGATTAATCAGAGGAAGTCGACTCTGAAATTCAGTTGTAAACAACCTGGTCAATCCTATCAACCAATGTGTAGAAACAAATGGCACAATGCGTATTTAAGGACTTAATGAAGACATTTGGAAATAGAAGATAACGACGACTTCCAAGCTTTGTGGTACATCAACAGCATGGCGGCTCTCAGGAGAAAAAAGACCAAGTATTTGCCCTTAAAGTTTACAAAACAACACTTTGGGAATGAAGAATTATCTACAGGTTAATATTGCTGTAGGTAAGATGTGCCTTTTGGGCATATTAACATTTCATTGACGAATGTTGGATAGGAGAAGCTAATGATTCATAAATGTCTTTCTCTGATGTTGCCTTAAGACGTACACCCTCATTTGGAGGTGAGGCTGCCCCTCCTTTTCAACCACCACAGCTGTGTCTACCCTCCACCCCCAAGGGAGCCAAGGCATCTGGCCACATTAAAATAATTTTAGGGGCACCTGGGTGGCTCAGTTGGTTAGGCGTCCAACTCTTGGTTTTGGCTCAGGTCATGATCTTGTGGTTTCATAAGTTTGAGCCCTGCGAGGGGCTCTGTGCTGGCACCAAGGAGCCTGCTTGGGATTCTCTGTCTTCCTCTCTCTCTGCCTCTCCCCTGCTGGCACTTTGTCTCTCTCAAAATAAAATAAAATAAAATAAAATAAAATAATTTTAAATTCATGAATAAGCGAGCTCAAACTTTTGAAGACTAATTGGTGATTTACCAGAATTAATTGTTATTATTCAAACCAACTGGAAACTGCTACTGGAGAATTAAAAGTATGTAAGCCAATTTTTAAGAATACAAAATTTATTAGTAAAAAAAAATTAGAATTTGTTCATTACATAGAAAAGTAACACAGCTGAACATTCCCTACAAAAATGTTAACTATAAGCACATAGAATAGGAGTGACACAGTGATCAGGTCTGAGGACTTCATATTAATGCCTCGTGAGCATCGGAAAATCGAAAATGGTGACATGCAAACTGGGCTTGTGACGTTTTGTCAATGTGTTGGATATTTCGAGTTGTCATTTGGGGCGGCCGAAAAACAGATATAGGTATGCCATGTTCTGAATTACCATAACTGCCATTAACTATAGCAGATGTCACAGTTTGTCCCCCTCTTATAGAAATCGCTGGTGGCCGCTGCAGAGGGGGCAAAGTTCACGTAGTCTGAGCTGGGGTAGGAAAAGTACTCCGATGCCCTGATGGGGTCCAAGTGTTCTGCCTCACACGACGCACAGTAGCAGACGGAGGTGCCGGCCGAGGAGAAGCAGTCATACTGGGCGTCCGGGGGCAGGTGGGCATAGGAGTAGTCTTCGGAGGGGAAGCCACAGTTCCTGGTGTCCAGAGAAGGGGGAGAATTGTAATTCTCTGGAGCATATGACGGTAGCTGAGCCGGCGAGTAACTGTAGTCTAAGGAACCGGAGAGAGTGGAGGAATCAGAAGGCGATCCCGGGGTCTAGAGAAAACCAAGGAACAAAGAGCTTGATACTTTAGACGGGATTAAAAGAGCTGCACGGAGTGGATTTATTAACTCAGAGTAAGAACACTGGGGGAAAGAAATACAACACAACAGAACACCCAACCCAACCCAAGTGTGCAGAAGTAATTTAATTTGCAGACTGCATGAGTTCACGACACCTTATTCTGTATTTGCCTATTTCTTCCCCAACAATAAATTGCCTTGCTTCACTGGCCTCCTTTGTTGTGAACCATACTTTAGAGGATGCTTTGTTCTTAAACCACAAAATCCCATTGTGCGTCAAGTCACCTGCACGTCAAATCTTGCCGTGTGCTCCAATATAAGCCGCAGGTGGCACCTGGGATGTTCCTCCACACCCTTGACTGTGGACAGACAAGTGAGCGTGCACAGGCAGAAGTGAGATCTTCAACAAGCCAGTGTCTGGGAGACTCCAAGACGTGACTCATAGTCACTACAGTCTTGTCCCCAGAGGAGAAAGATACCTTCTGCTTTCTCATAAGCAGGGCTACAGTTATTACTGAGAAAGCCTTCTTTGGAAGCCAGAAGTGAACTGGATGACTGGGGCCCTGTGTGCATATTCCTTGGAGTTAATTTCCTAGACCCTGAAAATTTAGTCTGCTACATTTTGACAAACCAAAAGAAAAAAAGTATTTGCATTAAAAAAAAAAACAACCTTGCTTTTTATGGTTTTAAAAAACTATATGAGTATCTAAAAGACATCTCAAACAATTGGTATCTATTAATGGCAACCTTACTCCACTGTAAATGGTACCATATTTTCCAACAGAAGAATAGACTGTCCAAATTCTTGGAAGGATTAAGGCTTCTTTTTCACCAGCCATCTCAGACCTAAATGAGTTCTTGTGCCTACACCAGACCAAAACAGGCACTTAGGAGAGCCAATTCAGTGCCAAAAATGAAACAAAAACCCGTTACTGGAATGAATGCCAGTTTCGTACTGTGTAGACGCAGCCTTAATTCCATTTTCAAGAACTCAAAATCAAAAATCCAAGGACTGCTGTTTAAATCAATGATTTCCAATTAATAGATGTCTTAACTACAGTTTTTAAACATTAAATGAACACTGTCAGGAAACCTCTTTTTATTGCCACCCACCACTTACTTGGGCATGGCCAACTTGGGAAATCACGATTCTGCGTGTATCCAAAGCTTTGCCCCCTGCGATGTGTGGTTATTTTGACCCCCACTGAATTTTAACTGGTTCTCTGCTTGTTTCCTGGATGATTTCCTTGTTGATAGTGTGATTTCTCACGAGATGATGCAAACTCTCTTACAAAGCATTACCACCCCAGAGTGAGCAACAGTCAGGTTTTGTAAAGAACCGAGATAAATTACCAGGCTCTGGCTAACGCAGAAAGGGGCGGCTTGGAAGCTGTCAGGGAAATAGTGTGGAGCACTTTGCGCGGAAGTGAGCGAAGGGTCCAGGTGTGTCTCTGTCTGAAGGTAGGAATCAAAGATCTGGTTGAGGCAGCTTGTGTTTTCCTCACAAGAAACACAACTGGAAAATTCTCGGGGTTGAAAATAACTGGGTGTGGAAGAAACCGGTTCAGGCTCAAAACACAGCCCTAGAAGAGAAAGGAATACGCTTTTTGTTGTTGTTGTTGTTGTTGTTGTTGTTTAAAAATCGCCCTTACAACTTTGAATAGAATTCTCTCCTATATTCTGAATATTTATCATGTCTGGGGGGAGGGGCAGGGGGATTTAAGAAGTTCTAGAAAAGTAAATAGGCAGGCAATTTGGATTTTTTTTTTAGTTGCCTTAGTGAATTCAAATCCCAATGGAATAAATCTGGTTAATTATGTGGAAAGAGGCTGTAAATGTGGCCAGGGCACAAAATAAAACAATGACAATCCAACCTGAGTCCAACTGTCATAGTCAAATAATGGCTCAAGGCTCTACTTTCTTGGACTATAAGGCATCAACATCCCATTTGCAGTTCAAGTAAACCTCACCTCTCAGAAGTAACATACAGAATTGCATGAGGCTTTAAGAAAACTTCTGATGCCACGGGAAACAATTCTCTTGATTTTGTGTTGCTGCCTTTCTAAACTTTCACACTTATTCAGTAACTTAAATTTTGAGGAGTGATACAAATAGCCATGCAAATAATACAAACAGATACCAAGAACGTAAAGTGAATTAGTGGTATTTGTTACGAGTTACAAAAAGCAAAAATATTTTCTTAGTAGCCATGTTGACGCGATAACAGAATTAAAATAAGTTGTCAGCTACCAAACAAGAATAATTCTGAGAACAGGGCTCCTCTTCCGTTTTTTTTTTTTTTTTATTAATAGGCTCGGTTTCTGATTGCAATCTTTCAATGCTCAAGGAAGATAGGTTTAGACTGTGTTCACCAGAGGACAACAGAACCCTGGATTTTTGGAAGTCTCACGGTTCCTTCAGGCTAAGCTACAGTGGCACCTTCAGTAGGGTGCTAGCTGTTGGATGGCATAGGTAGTGCAGTTACTCGTATTGGGCTGAGAAAGCATATTCTGGAACCTGAGGGGGTCCTGCATTCAGCAGTACACTGAAAAGGATAACAGGTTCCTGAAAACAATGCTGATCTGTTAGTCAAGTTTAGTTCCTTGGAGATTGAAGGAGCCGGAATAAAGGTGGAGATAGACTCTTGGGACAGAGCAGGAAGCAGAGAATAGACGTCTCAGAAATGAGGACAAAACCGTGCCCTTGTTCCCTTGCCGGGCTTGCATCTGGAGGCACGATGCGATTGGTCGGATTCCAATTAAATGGTGGTGCCTCTCTTAACCCCTGAATCAAGCACCTGAAAGGCTTTTGAGAGGGACTTTTGGGAGAGGTTTTGAGGGAACCGCAATGCTGGCTGTACTGACCTGCAGGAGATGGCAGGACTTGGTCTGAAAGGCGGACGCTGTTGCCTCCGGACGGCTGCCAAAGCAAGAACGTGACCACAGAGCAGAGTGAAATCAAAGCGCTATGAGGGGAGAGCTAAGACATTGTCACATGAACTTTGTTGCCTTCTCCTCTAAGGTAAGCCAGATTCTTTCTTCTAGAAGACAGTGGCTGTCGTTACGTATGACCAACGTTACATTTTATTTAGACTCAGTTTTTGTTTGCTTTTTTTTTAATATCAGATTCTCCCACTTGCATTTTAAAGGTTAATTTCAGTAAAAGTGAATGTAAATGATTTTCATATTACAGAGAAATGGAACAGTTTGAGACTGCTCGGCAAAGAGCTTTTCTATTAAACTATTTAATTTAAAATGAGTAAGACCTAACCTTATTTAGCCCCAACTATCTATGACTTCATCCATCATCTTCTTCAAAATTTTCATATATTCTCTGGCTGCTTAGCCTTAGGAGTTTTGTGGTTTTTTTCCCCCCCAAAGCACGCAATTCCTAACTTTGCTCATCCTGGGTTAGCTGAAAATATTCCCATGTGCTTACTAGCTATGAAATAGTAAAACAGAAAATATTTTTCTTAAATCTGTAGTCAGTGAGCTGAAGCCTATCTGCCCTCTAGGTCATGGTCAGTAAGTATTTAAACTCTTTGTATGTTCTGTACTCCTTTCTGTAAGAATTGCTTTTTTCACGACTATATCTAAATGCTTGAAGTTTATGAGATTATTGCTTTTGAACGGATCATTGTATTGAGCAATGTAGGATTTTCTTTTCCTTTCTTTTTCTCTTTCTTTTTCTCTTTCTTTCTTTCTTTCTTTCTTTCTTTTTTTCTTTTCTTTTTTTTTTTTTTAAGGTTTCAGATGGCGGCTTTAAAGTTTAAAGGGACCAGCATTGCTCTGTGATTCTGCACTGGGAAGCCTCGCTCACCACACCTCTCTCTCGGATTACAGGGTATACTTACTCCCATGCACCATGTCACCCAGAGACTGCACGCTCAGCCACCGCTGAAACAGGAGGTGGTGTTAATTTTGAAAATGATCCATGCTGTAATGTCACGAACCAGGAAGCTGGACTCCTTCACTAGCTCTTTATGCAAATATTTGACTGCAGCTTGAGCTGAAGGACTTGGAAGGAGTGGGTTTTAAAAAATCTGCTTCATTGTGGAGCTCTCCTTAACCCCTTTCCTCCCCAGGAATGGGAACGGTCTGTTTGTCCGCCTGCCCACATTATCTCCCTCAGGTATGTTTACAATCTCCTATTTGATGTTATCTTTCTGGTCATGGGTTCCCTTTCTACTTTGCTCCAGGAATACAAAGACAGACACCGTTCTCTTCAATTTCAAACAGCACAAAAAGCCACAATCTACAATTTATGAAAACACATCGAGGCTGTTTAAAAAAAAAGTTAATGGTTGAAAAGGGTAAAATATCTCTTTTGATAAATACTAACTCAAGTTTCCCTTTCTCCTAAAGGTAAAAGGTGTGTGTGTGTGTGTGTGTGTGTGTGTAGGGTTGTTTGTAAACTGACCTGGCCGAAATAAGTTTTTTTTTTTTTAAATCCAGTTTAGAAATCTGGCATAAATACACTTCCCCTGGCACCTTGTTTGTGACCTGACATCTGCCTCAATCTATAACTTCCATTCACGATTGCTTTCTTAAAATGTCAAACTGTGGCTACTATTCTGACTTTATAACAAATTAAGATACATTTCTTCCTGCTTTGTATATTTGATAAAATTAACTCCGTGCTTGGCTCGAAGCTTCCCGGAGGCGTCCTTTCACTGGAGATCATCTCTGCTAAACTAAAGGGTCTACACCGGGAAGCAGGCACACTCTGTCCCCTGGGTACACCCTCACAGCTTTCCTAGAATCCCAGATCCTCCCGCTGGCTCCCAGTGAGGGCTTTTACATCTGGCACTCATAATGAAATCATCTGTGTGCTACTTCTCCGTGCCCGTGAGGGCATGGGTCGATATACTCTTCCAGGAAGTGAAGGAGAGCAGGCTTCGCTGTGCATGTTCCTGCAAGGCAGTGGTTCAGAAGTACGGCTTTATTATTTCTCAGGGGTGGTGGCGGTGATTCAGAAAAACTTAGACAAATCAAACAGCTCCAGGAAACAGGTACTGGTCAGATACACAAGCGAAATGTTCTACCCTTGCTTTCATTCCCGCAATCAGCTAACAGGGGCACAGTAGCCAAACCGGCCTGTAAGAGGCCAGCCGCAATAAAAGCACCGTGCCGAAAGGGGGTTTCTCTGGGTGCATCGAAGCAGAATTCTACCATGCCCCCCACACTCCTTAATGAAAGCTTATATTTTGTGGTGAACATCCTGATGAGTTTCTTTTTCTTTCACAACCAGAAGCATTTCCCAGTTCCCGTGTTCCTGTTTTTGTTAATTTTATAACCATCTCTGAACTGAAGGAATCGAGAGCTGAGGGTACCAGATTCCTGCTCAGCGCAGCTGGACATGTGGAAGGGTGAATTTAGGGAGCCAGTAGGTGGGAAGGTTTTTTGCTTTTTATATGGAGAGTACGAAGACATTGGTCCTGTTTTTTAGCTCTGCCCGTAGTAACTGTACGACTCTGAACATTAGCTGTAACAGAGGCATGCAGATCCTGATTTATTTACCCCACCTGGTTGTTACAAGAACTAAATGAAATAATGAGTGCGCAAAAGTGCTTTCTTTTTAACCACTGTAGCCCGCCCCCCCCACCCCCGCGCCCCGCCGCAAATGGAAGGAAGCTTCATTGTGTTAGCTAAAATCCTGTACGTGGAGGTACTAACCTCTCCAGTAAATGTAAATTTTGCTGTGCAGGTTGTATCACGGCAGGCCCACACCTGAACTCTAAACTCTAAGCAAAGGGAGTGAATGGACATTACTGGATGGCCGGCTTTCAATTCTTGGCTATAACTTTATTTTAGTTGCTTTTTGCAAATAATAGTAACGACAGCTAACATTTATCGAGCACTTGCTAAATGAACATACTCTTTCATTTCAAATAAAGTGCTTTATTATATGCTTTATAACTCATTCAGCCCTCATAAAATTCTATTATCTCCGGCTTAAAGATCTGCTCAAGGATACGCTTGCACCACGGAGGAGCTGAGATCTGAACCCAGCCTACTGGTTCTAGAACCCATGCTCATCACTTCCATATCGCTTGCCTCTTCCCACAAAGGGCCATTTCAGGAAGTCGTGCATTGCACACAAAGAGCACCAGGCTCAAAAAGCATCGTGGGGAGGATGCCAAAAAGCTGGGGACGGGACCAACCCTAACACTGACAATGTGGGCCCATCTGTCATATCCCACATGCACACCCAAAGCAACCCACAAGCGAACTGTATGACCAAGGGCTGTCAGCAATGAATGGCCCTATGGTGGAGGATAACCCCACCTAATTTATTTGGTTCTGCTGCTGCCCTGAGCACTCCTAGCAATACTATCTGCTTTGGAAAGTATATAAAGTGGCTGGGTACCCTTACGCCTGCCTCATATCACCTCATGATAACCTGGAACTGCTTAAGGATTTACTACATATTAAGGAGGAGGTTCTATACCCCAAGCTGTCTCTTCTGCAGATACATGGCCCGTTTGTGCTGGGAACTTTCTGTGCCTGGTGATTTACAGATAAATGACCTTAGAAGCTGGGTTTCGTAACACTGGGAAGCAGGGGGCATGTCCACAGAGATTCTCTCCTTGAAGGGCTCCCTAGATGAAATGAGTTTCTGGGAGAGATTTTCTCTCCATGTGTGAGGGCACATACAACTGTCTTCCTACCCGAATAACCACCTACTTACCTGCTGGCTGCTACTCGCCCTGCACCAGGTCAACAAGCCCTTTGTATTCAACTGTGGTCAGTGAGGGATGGGCTCCCCTGAAGTCCTGAACCCCACGACATGCCCCAGCTGTGTGTTGTGGCTTCCTGTGCTGAGCTGGGAAGAAGCTGGGCACAGAAGTTATAAAGGCAGCTTTGGAAGGCCAGGTCTGGGGTTGGTGGCCGAGCTTAGGATGGCCTCCCACATCTTTCCAGACACACGGTTAAGTGAGGCCGAGCACTAGGTGGGGAGTAGGTGAGGGGTGATGCTTACGGTTCCCCCGGAGGCTGCCTGGTGCGCCCTTCTCTGCTGCAGCAACTCCTTCACCGTTATCTTCACCCGGACACCTTGATACACCTTCGGTTTTTCTGGGGAAAGGCGACTGAGTCAGTGGTCAAATGTGAGGTTTGGGTGTAGACAGGGGTCGGGGGCAGGGGGTCGTAGACTATGACACCGGAGGCCAGGTTTCTAGGTTCCAAGAATGCAAAGAGAATGCTACAAGACAGGTGGGAAGGGACCCCAAAAGTCTCCGACCTGAGAGGATGAGGAGGAGCTGGGCAGGTTTCGGGGTCCCCAGTGGAAACAGAATCTATGGGAATCTGTGGGGCCACCCACGCCAGGCTGGGCCCTATCCCTAGGCCAGTAGCACACAGGTGTTTCTGCTCAGGAATGCGGACAGCAGTCTAGGGAAGCTCACCACCTTGGCTAAAATAGGGGGACCTCGGGCTCTGGGCCCAGCCTGCCGCCGGGGAGAGCGTATTGCCGGCCTGGGAGGGGCCCGATGGCCAGAGCAGGGACGGCTGCTCTGATCTGGAGCCGGGGACCCAGCCCACTCCACTGTGATGCTGTGCGGAGGCTCTGAGTCCCTATCTTCTCCATCAGGCCAAACGCGGCTTCTGGGGAGGCCCCGACCCCTCGTGCCCTTGGTCTGGAAGCCAGCCCCGGGGCGAGCGGCGGGCAGGGGGCGGGGGGGGGGGGAGTGTGGGGTGGTGGAGAGAGCTGTCCTCGGGCTGCTGAGGGACCTGCTCCACCGACCTCAGTAAAGGGCCCAGGCCCGGAGCACTAACCCCCTCCCGTCTTTTTCTTCGGCCTGGTCTCCCTCGCCCCTTTCTCCGCCTTTCCCGCTCGCCATCCTCTCCCCCTCCCTCCTTCGGCCCCCGCTCCGGCTCTCCCTTCCTCCCGTCGCTCCCCACCCCCTCCCTTTCGGGTGCAGGCGTTTCCCGGCGGCGCACTGGGCCTCCGGCCTCGCCGAGCGAGGCTCCCGGGGGTGGCGCGGCCCGCCGGGAGTCAGCCCCGCGGAAGGGCCGCGCTCGGGGCCGGCGGGGCCCGGCCGGACTGCGCGGCCGGCGGGGAGGC